CCCCAGTTCAAATCCCCAGTTCAGACCCCCCAGTTTGGATCCCCAGTTCAGATCCCTGAGTTGGATCCCCAGTACAAATCCCCAGTTCAGACCCCCTGGTTCGGATCCCCAGTTCAGATCCCCAGTTCAGATCCCCTGGGTTGGATCCCCAGTACAAATCCCCAGTCCAGCTCCCCGGTTCAGATCCCCTGGGTTGGATCCCCAGTTCAGATCCCCAGTCCAGATCCCCAGTTCAGATCCCCCGGTTTGGATCCCCAGTTCAGCTCCCCAGGTTGGATTCCCAGTTCAGACCCCCCAGTTCAGATCCGTGGTTCAGCTCCCCAGTTCAGATCCCCAGTTCAGACCCCCCAGTTCGGATCCCCAGTTCAGACCCCCCAGTTCGGATCCCCAGTTCAGATCCCCTGGGTTGGATCCCCAGTACAAATCCCCAGTTCAGATCCCCAGTTCAGATCCCCCAGTTCAGATCCCCAGTTCAGATCCCCGGTTCGGATCCCCAGTTCAGATCCCCTGGTTTGGATCCCTGGTTCAGATCCCCGGTGTGCATCCCCCAGTTCAGATTCCCAGTTCAGCTCCCCAGGTTGGATCCCCAGTTCAGACCCCCCAGTTCAGATCCCCGGTTCGGATCCCCCGGGTTGGCTCCCCCCGGTTGGGATCCCGGTTCCGTTGCCCCCGCACTGCCATTATCTGCCCCGGGCAGGTGTCCAAGACGGGCAAGGAGATCAAGGAGTACATCGAGTCCATGGCGGGCGAGGACCCGCTGCTCAAGGGCGTGCCCGAGGACAAGAACCCCTTCAAGGAGAAGGGCGGCTGCACCATCAGCTGACCGGCACCGCCGGTTCCTCCCGCTTCCCCCTCTCCGACCTCGGGCAGCACCGAACCGACCCTAGCGCCAAGAAACGGGACAAAAAGAAGAAATTTAACAAGAAAAAAAAATACCCCAAACCCCACCCCCGCTGCCGCCGGGGCGCCGCGGCTGAGCTTTGGGTTCCCACGAGCAAAAAAAAAGCGAAACTTCTGCATTTTCAGCAGCCTGAGCGAGCGGGGGATGGGGAGAGAGAGCCCCGAGCCCAGATTTGTTCCTTTATCCCAAAATCCCGGAGCTCCCTTCCCTCGGGATGGGCTGGGGATGCCACCAGCACCTCCTCCAGGTGCTGCTTCCCCCTCTGGAAAACCCTGGAAAATCAGCGTGGTGTCACCCGGAGCCA